TTATATGGTTGTTATGGCAACACACTCGTCCCCAGTCCCTTCTCTTCCAATTTCTATATGATCCATTTCCAACGAAATAAATAGTAATTTCTGCAATTGTCGCTTATTATTATAATACGTGTAGGTATTGTGATCAGTTTAAACCGTTATAACATTCAAACATCCTCTACAAGAGGTCTACAGGAGGAAATTTGTGAAAAGGAAGAGAAGAGACTGGGGACTAGTGTGTTGCCATGACAACCACATGACCTGCCAAAAATATTCATATGGGTCTACCCACTAAGTGTACCGAGTTTCATTGAATTTTATTAAATACTCACTAAGATATCAGACTTTCTTGTTATTGCCATTATCTCAAGTCAAACCAGTGACGTCACAACTAAAAATTTAGAAAGTGCGATAACTTGAGAATGAGATGAGATATGAAGAAACTGTAAACGTCATTCTTCATCGCTCTAGCAGTACTTTTTAGCACAACAATAAAAAATGAGGTGAAAATTTCGTTTCATAAGCACTTTAATCACTTTTTTATACAACCGGCCCCAGAAATTTAAATAACACAAAATCTAAGTAAACAACGTGAAAATTATACTTTCTGAGCACTTATTATTTTCAAATAAAGAAGACAAAGCAGAAATAAAGATTATTTAAAGTTTTTACAGGTATGAATTGAAAATTAATGTCAGAAATTACTCTCAAAACTGACAAAGGCGCGTACGGATGCGATTGTGTACTATGCTTGAATAATATACAATCTTTCTAGGTCTTCTAGTTGTCATTGATTGGTCGTGTAAAATTGACTATAAAATTATATTAACAGGAAATTATATTTGCTCTCGAAGTATTAATGAAAAATCACTTGTGCTTGGCAAATTAGAAATATTTCACCAACATGCGATTTTTCATTATTACTTCTCGGACCATGCATGTAATTTCCTTTAAAAAACTCATTAATAATTCATCAAGAAAACACAAAGAAAAATCATAAGCGTGTCGTATCTGTATATATGTGATACAGATTCATGTTGATTTACATAAACTTTAACTATGATTTTCTCGGCTTAGACAACGTTTATTTTTAAAATTACTTCGCCAATGAACTCATAAGATGAGTCGGCCGCTCATGTTGTAAACATTACAAACAAATTTGTTAGTTTCATAGTGATATAAATTAACATAGCATATTAATGAAGCAGGACTTAATTCAGGACTTCATTTGTCCTGTTGTCCGAGTCTAATTCAATTGTTATTGTAAAATTAATAATAAAAAGGGTTATTTGAAAAGGATCTGCCAAAGTCGTAAACCTTTGATTGGCAGTGATTTTAGGATCCATGCATTTTCGTCCCCAGGTAACTAGTTTTCGTTCTCTTGGTGGTCCCTACATAGACTTTCCAAAGTCCTTTTCAGTTCTAGTCCCTACATAATTACGCCCACAAAAATAAAATTCACAGGCATGTCTATAATTACGAATAAAATGCTTCTGTTTCAGAAAACACGGATCACAAAAGTCTGGTTGACTTGCAGTCAGAACTAAAGATTTTAATTCATGTCGGTGAAAATGAAAACATAGTAAACATACTAGGTGCTTGCACAAAAGGTTAGCAACAACGTAACTATGGGTTTCTAATACATATCGAGGGAGGCGTGGCCCTCTGAAAGGAGCCTGGGAAATGACATTTTTAAGAGATTGCACGGGCTCTATATAGCGCCCATTTCCCAGAGTGAACGTACAGCAAATTTTCTACGATAAGTTAGTTATGGTTTTCTAATCGCCACAATAACTATTATTTACTATTTAACAATAGATCGCTGACCAATCGCATTACTTTGCCAAATTTCTTTGTAGACAAATTTAGATCGCGGACGTCAAAGACAACGTGAAAATGGCGTGTCGTGCCCATGTATGGATAAGCCACGCCATTTTCCCACCATTTTCACGTCGTCTTTGACGTCCGCGTCCTCGATGTAAATCTGTCTAATATCATGACCCCCTCACACACACACCGCAATATTGCATAACATCTTCCAAGGTTAATACACTACACACAACATTGAATGGGGGGTTGATATGCTTGTTGTTGTACTATTGTAAAAATGCTTAAAATGCTATAAAACTACGGACATAGACCTCATAATTAATAAATACTAAAATTAATTTATAAATACTAAAGTTTAATTCGCATTATACCAATCAACGAACAATTTTAGAAAGCTTGGCAAAATCACTGTCCGGCCTCCATGCAACCGGCCCCTGAAGTTTTGAAATAAACAGACGTGCAGAAATACACACACCAAAACAGCGGGTTAAATTTTAACCCAGGGTTAACGCCAATTTAGCTTTGAACAACCGGCCCCCAGTAGATTGCCAGTCTTGCTTAAAACTTTTAATCCATTGTCAACTTTTGTATTCAAGTACGATGGTTTCCTCACTTTTACTTAGGAAAGAGTTCAAACTTGTGGATAATAATGGAATATTGTCCAAATGGAAATCTCCGAGAATTCTTACGAAGCAGTCGGAATTTTTACGACCTGAATGAAGAGGCTTTGATTCCTGATCCTGACCAAGTCATTGGACCAAAAACTTTGATGTATTTTGCTTGGCAAATTACAAAAGGAATGACGTTCTTGGCTTCGCGAAAGGTAATTTTCCTAATGGACTTCTCCAAATGATATCCAAATTATCTTTACCGTATAATAAGCAGAATTTTATTTGACATGCACGGTTGGAATCGAACCCGTGACCTCTGCATTATCCCATTTCAGGAGATAATATTGACATTACATGGTCTTAATAATTATTGTTATTATGTAGACAATTACTGGGTATAAGTGTTTCTGCAATTTAATTGGCCCTCTACCAGCAGGATATTATAATGCTCATATCCAGCTGCCAGTAGAAAAAAACAAGATGGCGGGCTCAAAATTTCTGAACTCTGAACAAAAAAGGAGCAAGTTATATTCGCTTCAAATAGCATTAAGAGAAGTGAAAACGCAATGAAAACACTCTCAGCAATTTTTTACAGGTTAACAAACACATTTTTGGTACTTATAAACTAGCTAAAAAATGTACCCTAGAATAAAAAAATGTTCTGCATTAATTATGGTTAATACCTCATGGTCTCTCTATATAGATGCATGAGCTGCCTTTCTTAGAATTTTAGGACCGAGAGCAGAAAGGACCTGATTCATAATAAGACCTATCTACACAGCTATCTGTTTCACTCATTCTTATTCCTGCTCCTTTTCTCACAGGTAATTCACCGAGATTTGGCTGCACGAAACATCTACTCGGAGAAGGTTATGTGGTAAAGATTGGAGACTTTGGGTTGGCCAGAGATATTTATAGATATCAAAAATACTTAAAGAAGTCTGCAGTAAGTGCGTTAAAATCTTCCTAATAATTTATACTTAGCTACATCTTTCGGTTACAATTCTATTTCAGAACCATCCTCAGAGATATAGTTTCATATTTTTCATATCTCGAGGATGGTTCTGAAACCACAAACAGTGAGTTAGCTTTATAGTGAATATAATTTTTAATGAGGATACCATGCAACTTCACATGCAACTTCACATGCAAGTAATGGTTTACAGAGGGGTCGTCAATTGGTATATATAACTTATTTTTGGTATAAAAATTGGTATAACTAATTTTTGACGGCATTTTGCATCATAGCGCTCCTGTAAGGAAGTAAAAAACTTAAAAAATGTTATGTTTGTCATACGCATGTGTAGAAGATTACCGCAAACTGTGCAATCCGTGTTGACAAAAACGTCGCTTGCTTATTCATGAACACTGCGCGTTAAGCGTTATAAGTCCTCGCGAAAGTATTTCGTGCACTTAAATTGGATAAAACTCGATATAGCACCCTGCATCACAGACCTTACAATTTGTAATATCTGTTGTACTGTAATATTTAATTCCTATATGTATGTATAATAATCCATTTAAAAACAACACGTTTTATCGATCGTAATTTCTGAAATACTGCATGCATGAAATTCATTCAAACATATTTAAAATGTCATGTTCCAGCGATTTTAAATATATATAAATGGTTAGTGTTTGGGTGAATTTTAACATTTTTACGCCCACATGTGCTGTGACCACGAAAATATAAGATTCCGGTTTCGCCACGGATCAAATCACCCCGTTATAAATCATTCAAAATCACATATATTTCGACTGCTAGGACAATAAAAAAGCTTTAAAAACTAAGAACAATGTATAAACGATATTATTTTATTTGTAACAATTTGTTAATGTTTTTTACACGCCCATTGTGGAACCAGCTTTTGCTGACAATGTTAGCGTGGCTAAATAAAGTTTATCATCATAACATACGATAAAATACGTTCCAAATTTTGATAGTACGAACGAATTTATAATGCAAAATTTGAATAAATTTAATCCCCAAAACTGAGGATTTAATTTATATGCATGGAACAAGCAATCGCGCTAATTTTCAGAGACCTTACTAATTGTAAAGTCTGTGACACATGCTAACTCAATAGCGGAGGTATAAAAACCCGAAGACGCGAGTTCGAATCCTGCTCAGGACAACGAATTTTCGTTGTTCTCTGCAGTTTCGGAATAATTATGAAACTATATATAGTCTTTCGGTTACATGCACAATTTAACGCATTTACATACAAAAATAATGTTACTAATGATACTTTTTGTTCACGTAAAACAGTATGTAGAAATTTAGCTTGCTTGTTTTCCAGGGATTTGTTCCATTAAAATGGATGTCGGTGGAGTCCATCAGAGATTTGATATTTACCGAGAAGTCTGACGTGTGAGTAAGATTGTTGTTCAGGACAAGATCATTGTTGTTGTCAATGATTTTCTGTCCGAAAAGTGAACTTGTGCAAGGTTTAACAAGAAAAAATACCAAAGTTAGCTATATATATATATATTATGTTGTTAAATGTTGTCGTTAGATATTGAGTTTATCGATAAAATTTGTATACAGCAACAAAAAATCAGGCATTTAGCTGTCCAATGATACTTTTTTTGCATCACACTCTAAAACATTCTGGTCAAAATTTCCTAACTTGATATTCCTATAGTTTCATTTCCTAGTATTTTATCTCACTTCCTATATCAAAGTTATTTATCCACCTGATATAGTCTGGTTAATTTAATAACCAGGAAGTCCTGGTCAAATTAACTGGGTTAAAATAATAAGGAAATTTGTCCAGGAATATATTAAGGGTTGTGTGTCTAGGTTAACCAGAAAAATTTTAACGCTCAAAGTGTTAGTTTTGCCGGAGTGCATTATAAAGAAAAATGACGAATCGAATTCTCATTTTACTTGTATTTAAGTTGATCTCCTTAATACACGTGTAGGTGGGCATTTGGCATTTTACTTTGGGAACTCTTTACATTGGGTGAGTACTTTTAACCAATTACATCATGAAATTATGTGTTGTAACGTCACTTGCAAGGGCCGAATACGATTGCTTCCAGAGAAGAATATTCCGTCACCACTGTCTTCTATTGCAAATGGCAGAAATAACATTAGTCCAGCAGATGTAAATTGTGTAAATTTTCGTAAGAACTTGTGTTTCAAGGTAAAAGCGGTAAATTTGGCACAAATATTCATACATAAACACACTGTAAACAACACTGGATATTGCCCACATCAAAACCTTTCCCATATATACATGCACCCGATAAAAATTATGATCCATCCCGTTATAGAAAGAAAGCAAAATAGTAACTATGCGAAATTTAAGTAAGTTGTGGAAGGAGACCCGTCCGATTGCCCTCACCGCCACTCTGTCAAAAGTTTTGGAAGACTTCGTTGTGACCTGGATGATTGATGATGTCGAAGACAAAATCCGAAGCAGTTTGGTAGCTTAAGGGGATCTTCTACAACATTCTCCCTTATTGACATGATTAACAACTGGTTGCAGGCACTGGATAGTTTTTTTGATTTCTCCAAAGCTTTTGACAGAATCAACCATAACATTTTGATTGCGAAACTCATAGCCCTTGGAGTAAGATGTTTGATCGCATGGATATGTGATTTTCTTTCAAATCGTCGTCAGGCAGTGAAGATTAATGAGTCTCGCTCGGAGTGGGCTTATGTAAATGGCGGTGTCCCTCAAGGAACAAAACTTGGCCCTATCTTGTTTTTAGTTATGATTAATGATCTGAAAACGAAGTACCTAAACTCCTCTCATTGGAAATACGTTGACGATGTAACGATTTCCGAGGTTATAAAAGAAACTGAGGAATCGCGATTACAAACTGAACTCAATGAACTCCAACAATGGGCATGTGAGAATATGAAACTGAATGGGTTAAAATGCAAGGAAATGGTTATCAGCTTTTTACGACAAAGTGATAACTATACTCCATTATACAATAATGATCAACAATTGGAACTGGTTACATCTTTCAAGATTTTGGGTTTGACTATTAATAATCACCTTAAATGGAATGATAACGTTGCAATTGTCGTAAAAAAAGCGTCGAAACGCCTTTACATCCTTCGGGTGTTGCGTCGATCTGGAATTCCATCCGCTGACTTGCTCTCAATCTATAACGCCTTAATCAGATCTGTTTTGGAATATGCTTGTGCAGTCTGGCATACCAGCCTACCTCAGTATCTTACCAACAAAATTGAACGGGTGCGGAAACGTGCTCTGCGAATTCTGTACCCTTTCACTGATTATGCGGAAGCCCTATTTATCAGTCGTTGTTCTCGCCTTGATGATAGAAGGCATTCAATATGTCAGAATATACCTTACAAAAGATTGCTAAGCCTTGCTCGAAACTGTACCACTTGTTGCCGTCAACTCGCGGAAACGTCCATGGATGGAGTTTGAGAAATAATAATCAATTATCGCTTCCCAAATGCAGAACTGAGAGGTTTAAGAACAGTTTTATCCCGGCAATGTACTATAGTCAAGTTGACGTATAGGCCTTTATGGTCTTAACTTTTACATTAGGTTTTAACATTTATATTAGATATAGTAATTCATATTTTAGTATTTTTGTAAATTTTAGTATATTTCCATGTAATCATATTGTAATTCATTTTCAATGCGATAATATGCAAATAAACATTAATAATAATAATAATAAAAAGGTTTAAACTTTATAAAAAATACTGGCTTTTCATACTTAATATGCGCAAATGTCCACTTTTGAGCATTTATAATACAAAATATAGTTTAAAATCGCACCACTCACTTAAATGTATTGAAGTAATAGTGAACTTGGAAATTAATTTGTTAGGAGTTTTACACTGGGTGTATATAACAAAATTTCTATTGAGCCCATATCCAATATTGTTTCCTATATGGTGTATAAAAAAGGTAATCGAACTTCAGCGCGCTATTGTACGTGCATGAACTACACGGCGCATGTTTTTTTATATTCAGAAAGATCAGGCTTTTAGCTATATTGAATGACATGTTTTTCATGCCAATTGGAGAAAAAATAAGCAAGTACACGAGTTCGATAAAAAAGGTTAGTCAGAATCGCATATTTTCACTCTGTGCCTATAATTAAAGCAGTGCATAACGAAAGAAAAAGCAATTAAAGCAGTGCATAACAAAGAAAAACAAGAACGTGTCGTAGCTTAGCTAAGATTTATTCCTACTTATAATAATAATTATGAATATGTGCGTATAGTTTTCATCAACTTAAGTACTGAAGGGGGTTAATTTTCAATGGTTTTAGACTCAACTCTCAACGGTGAAAATATGCGATTCTGACTAACATTTTTTATCCGACTCGTACATGCTTATTTTTTTTCAATTGGCCGCATGAAGAACATATCATTCAACAGCTAAAAGCCTGATCTTTCCGAAGAAGAATAAATCTCGTTCATACGCAGAGTAATTCAGATACAATACCGCGCTGAAGTTCGATTACCTTTTTTTGTACACATATACCCCTGTATATATATGTGTCTATATCTGTACTAAATTTTATGCTTTTAACTTAAAACGCATGGACTGTTTCATGAATCTGCAGGACCACTTAACATGTTTTTCATGCAGGTGGAATTAACACCATACCCAGGAATAGACGCAAATTATCTATATGACTTTCTGTTGACTGGAAGACGACTGGAACCGCCTAATTATTGCCCTAACGAAATGTAAGTAATTTCGTATCTTTTTGAATAAAACAAGATTGATTTCAGATTTATGAATAAACGTTGACCATATTTAACAGTTATTCTACGAATTCGAGTCGAATTCGAGTCGAATATGAGCTGATAGCCGATGAGGCACGTAGCGCCGAATCGGCTATCGCTCATATTCGACGAGAGTGAGTGGAATAACTGTTTTATTATATACACAAGGTCTGAATTCACAGACTTTGCTTTTCGAATATTTTCAATATTTTTCTATTTTGTTTATCTTTTTATCTTCGCTCTTTCGGCCGATTATTTTTTCAAAAATATATATTTTTAACCATTTTAAATATTAAAAATTTATTTGCAAACCTGAAAACAATTTGTGGGAGTTTTTTCATTGTGTTTTTAATCCTGTGAAGGCTATAAAAAGCGACAACTTGCCGTTTTCTCGTTTGCAAAACATCGTAAATTCAGTTTGGCCGCCATTTTGTTTTTCTCTACTAGCAGGATATGAGCTAATATCCTGCTAGTAGAGAACCAATCAGATTGCAGAATACCTCATATCCAGACCTTGTGTATATAATAAAAAGAGTTATATTGTTATTCTAATGAGTTTCCAAACCGTCTATTCTATTAACTATGTCTATGGATGTTTCGCAGAGGTCACAAATTTCGCTTGACACCGCCAGTAAAATGATTTCTTTATTGTATTGTATTTTAGACTATTGTTGTTACACTTCAATAATTTTTATAATTTTGTCTATACAGTGCCGATGTAATGTCAAAGTGTTGGGAGGAAGATCCGGACGATCGGCCAAATTTTCACCGTTTGAAAGAAATGCTGTACGAAACACTTTGCTGTGAAACAATGACTCAGGTATAAAGTCAATAATGAACTGCATTAAAAATGCAACAAATTTCACTCTGTTAACAAATTTCAAAAAATGGTAACAAATTTCACTCTGCTTTGACTCGAATTTTGAATTTTAGTAAAACAATATAAATTTTTACAAGTTTTTATCTCAAAAACACTCTGATTAAAATTTCCTGGTTGACCTAGAAATAACTCTATTTGCATGGGTTAACTTAATATTCTTGGATACATTTCCTGGTTATTTGTTCTCACTTCTTACCGTAGTCAGGTTAATGAAACCAGGAATCTGATTATATTTGACCAGGACGTCCTTGTTAAAATAACCAGATCATGTGATTATGTTAGGTGGATAAATAACCAGTGTCCCCTATAACAACATATATAGTCTGGTTATAATTGAGCCAGGACGTCCTGGTCAAATTAACTAGTCTATGAAAGAAAAAGGTTGCAATAACTAGGAAATTTAAGAGGAATAGTAAGCAGGAAATTTTAACCAGAGTGTATGTGTTAATCCAATTATTATTTTCATTTTACTATAGACATCCGCAGAAAATGAGCAAAGTTCAAATACATCTACACCTGTTTTGATCTAATTAGAAAAAAACACTCAACGAACCATTATTTCCAATGGTATAGAGCGAGTATGGTGGTTCAAGATTTTAAAACTTAAATAATAATAATACTTAAATCGACTATAACAGTTCGAGATTTTAAAACTTAAATAATAATAATACTTAAATCGAATATGACAGATCTTAAACGTAAATTAAAGGGAATTTTACTTGACAAACTTTTATCATTATGCATGCATGTAATATTTACTGTAGATTTTAGCCGTATCGTATATTTATTGTATTTATGCAGTTTAATTTAATTACCATTCTTGTAATTGTCACTGAAAATACCCATTTGGGGAGTGGTCAATTAAATATTGTATTACATATGAATTTATAGAGTGTATCGTAGCCTTTCACGTTTACATAGCAGGAAGCATTAAACATGTATATGCTCGAAGTAGATAAACAACGACACAGGGTGATGTTCTTGTCTACCCCCACGTTATCCCCATATCGTCTGCATGCGAGTTCAATATCAAAGTGAACACAGCTAATTCAAAAAAGGTTGTTCTTCGAAGATCTCAAACCTTAATTAAACTCTAAGCGCGCAAAGAGTGATGGGTAACTTCTTTTTAGGGCTTTTGATTGGGCAAATAATCCTAGTATACTGCTTATTATCTGTCTTGCCATAGTTACAATGCAAAATTCGCACGTTTTAGGCCTGTTTTATACGTCGAATTTCGGTCGCGTCGAATGCAATTCAAACAATAGATAATGAAGCTTAATGAGGTTTATCATCTCATTATTTATTGTCTTCATTGCATTCGACGCGACCAAAATTCGACGTATAAAACAGGCCTTAAGGTTTAAGATTTTTGAAGGACAACCTTTCTTGAAACAGCTGTATACAAGGTGTCCCAAAAATTGCAATAGCTATGTTCCAGTTTTCCAACGAGTCATCCACGAGTCATTTCACTGTCTGATCGAATCGAGTCGAGTCAATGGCTTCACTCGAGTCGGGTCAATTGCTCCACTTAAGACGAATCGAGTCACTGTCAAGTCAATAGCTGAACTTGAGTTGAATCAGCGAATATCAATTCCACCCCACACTTTCTGTAATGGTTCGGTACCCTGGATTGTAATCTGTGAAATTAGTAATCAAATTCACCTCTAAGTTCTATTTAGTATTAATTCCGACCATATGAGATGTCTCATCGTGCACGTCTGCTGCTGTACTACAAAGTGCATACAACTAGTATATAATTAACACAACTGATGTGTGATTTGAGTGGTCCATTGGGTGGAACATGCACATATTATTTTAAAACAGCCATAACACTGGTTTTTCTAGACCAATTTTTAATATTCTTAGTGTCAAAATTCATCCGCACTTTTACAGACAGAGTCTAAGGCATTTTTCGAAAGGTTGAAAAATTACTATCCGGTGAATGGCGCTATAGCCTACCGACCAGCTGATCAGTTTTGACGCGGTTTAATAAAATTTGAAGAAAGCATGTCATGCTAAGCTATACTATATAATATGGGCAAACATCAGGATTTTTGGGCATCTCACACGACAGAACTAAATATTGAATGAGATGGCCAAAAATCATGATATCGTCAACTGGACTCTGTAGTTAGGACTCGACAACTGGACTCTCTATAGCTCAGTTGGTTAGAGCGCTGCACCGGAATCGCAGGGCAGCAGGTTCGATACCTGCCAGAGGACCTATAGTTGCATTTTTCGCAGCCGTTCCTAGTTATATATAGGTCTAAAAATATATAACATTTATACATATGCCATGCCGAGTTTAACTATTCTGCGGGTTGCGGGCTGCGGGCCGAAAAATGCGGGATGCGGGCGGGCTGCGGGCCAAAAAATGCGGGCTGCGGGCCAAAAATTGCGGGCTGCGGGCCAAAAATGCGGGTTGCGGGCCAAAAATTGCGGGCTGCGGGCCGAAAAATGCGGGCTGCGGGCCGAAAAATGCGGGTTGCGGGCAGAAAAATGCTAACACGATTGCAAGCCGCGGGTCTAGTTGCGGGCCTGACGAATTTTTAAAAAAATATTGTCAAAATGTAAAGAAAATAACAATATTATTCAAAATTTTCTGTCTTTGAAGTATATTCTATGTCTAATGTTATTCGTAATCATATGCATACGAATTTTTCCTTAAATTCATTCTTTTTGTAATATCATGGAATCTCAGTTTATGAGTCGTACCAGACATTAAAACCTGTTTCGACCGGGATAACTGTACACCAATCCTAATAGTAGCACTATATTTTCCATCCAGCAAACTGACCTGACGTCATTTTCGGAAGAGAGAAGAAGTGTTAAACCTGTTTTCCACTTCGACCGTATCGTAGCATTTTCTTTTGTGTTGATCGAAATCATTAGTTCCACTCTAGCGCTCAGGAAACAAAGAAATACGCTACGTTTCGGTACACGGCAAAAAACGCCGAGCCAGCTGCTCAACAGGATTGAACAATGTTTTGCTGCCCACATTGTTCACACTTGTCAACAATATTGAACACTATTGTTGAGCCTGAATATTGTTCAATATTGTTGACAGCTATGAACAATGTGGGCAGCAAAACATTGTTCAATCCTTTTTTCATCAGTATTGCATCAACCTGAGCGTTTTTACGCGTGTACGATACGGTTGAAGTGGAAAGCGGCCTTTAAATGGCTATGTAACTAACACAAACCCTACACCTAGTCCCTACTCTAACCCCTAACCCCAACCCTAACTCTAACCCTAATCGAATTAATAAAAAAATGCAAAAAAACGACTTTAGAAAATCGATAGGGCGGTTTGCTGGATGGAAAAAGTGCTAACCGCCAAAATCATTGGAAAATCATAGGAAAAACCAAGAAATTGGGCTTCTGTATGACCCTTTCTGTGCCCTGGTTATAATGCGCTACCGCTTATAACTTTTGGTACAACTGGCCTGAAACTTAAAATAATGATTCAATAAGTTTAATACCAATATATTTATTGAAAAATAACTATTATGTCAAAATAAGAAAACTTAAGATTCTCACGCGAATAAGCAATGTTTTTATGAGCGACTGTTCATCGTTAGTTGCAAACGACGGTAATATAAACAAGGTCAAGGTTTTATCGAAAGCGATTGATTGTTAGATTTCCTTTTATACTATTTTATAACTAAATAATGTTATTTCCTACAAATTTAGCTTTATTGTAGCTTTATCGAAAGTATAAAAAAAAACATGGAAACGGCGAATTACTATAGATTGAAAATAATTATTAAACTATGATTGAAATTATCGACGTAGAATACTATTTCGTTGTATTAAATTTCAATAGTATAATGAGAATTTTGTTTGATATTTTAATATATTTCATGTTATTTACAAAATGTACTGTAGTTTTGAATATATTGAGCATATATAAAAAAATGAGTATTTTGATAGCGTAGCCAGGCTTCAAGATATAAATATTAAAAACGACTGATAAATAATCATTCATTTTATGATTAATATTTTATTGCGAGCACAACTGCTCCAGAATCACAGCAAATAACAGAATATAAGGAAAATTAAAACCAGCAAAGCTTTATCTACCTTGTTCTATTTTTAAAGTCGCTCAATTATGTAAATTTTCCGCGAACTCTCAAACATTTTCCTTTGCCTTTCCTCGAGCATGAGTGATGAAATACTCGTCGGAAAAACTCGGTATTTGTCGTATTTTACGAATTTGCCACGTGACCGGTACGCTCACCAATTAAAGTTGCATGCCATATATGGCATGCAACAAAAAATTAGTTAGGCCAGCAATTTGGCCCGCGGCCCGCAATTGTTTTAACCCGCAGCCCGCAAAAACTGACCCGCAGCCCGCAAAAAATGACCCGCAGCCCGCGGCCCGCAAAATAGCTAGACCCCCTTTTGTTATATTAGAGCATTCCTGTGGATCATTGCGCAAATTTTTGAGGGACTGTGTGTCGTCTTTACTATTCTATCATTGAGGCTTATTTTTTTGATGAACTAAATTATATAATTAGGCTGGTCTTTATTACATAAGTTCAAAGGCAGAACGCTTTAATGTCTTATGCTATAGCTGTGTCCTCACTACAACGCAAGATAAGCATAAGCAACAGGATAAGCATAAGCATATAAGGAAATGAACAGCAAAGCTAAGAAACGCTTTGAATTTTTTTGTTTGCGAATGTTTCATGTTTGCGTCATAGTGAGGAGTCTCAAGCGTATTGATTTCTTATGTACTGTCCTCAGTGAGGACAGTACATAAGCCATCAATACGCTTGAATAATTAAATACTGTACGTTCGTTAATGAATAGAATTTGTTGGACGCAGCAGTTTATTTAATTTTTTATACAGGGTGCATAAAAAACTTCAGTTATCCACCCTAACACCCTAGCTTGATGTGTGTGATGTGTATTGATTGTAAAAATTATTTCCAAATCAATACTAAAATTTACGTCAAATTATCATCATTACTCATTAGACTAGTTCACATTTAAATACTATTTGATACAAACATATTTAATAGTACTTCAAAAATTAATAATTCACGAGGAAAACACAAAGAGAAATCATAAGCGTGGCGTGTCTTTATATGTGATAAACACGCTTCAAATTTCAACTTGTATTTTCTCAGCTATAATACAAAGTTATTTTGGAAAATTATTTCGCCAATGCCGTGATCTAACTGAGACGTTTTTGAAGCTGTTTAATAAACTCGTAGTTCGTGTTTTATCACATATAAAACACTCCGCTACGCGTCGTGTTTTATATGTGATAAAACACTCCTACTCGTTTATTAAACAGTGCATATAATTAATGTCCTCGTCTTACATCTCTCAAAATAGACACAACAATTCTTTCAATTATTTTTCATTTTGTCAAATTTTCCTTGCAGAAAGGAAATTAGCGTTCGGAGTCCTCGTCTCACATCTCTCAAAATAGACAGAATAATTCCTTCAATTTTTTTTCATTTTGTCAAATTTTCCTTGCAAAAAGGAAATTAGCGCTCGGGGGGACCCAAATTCCTGGAATCACGTCATTTGATACCATATAGATCTGTGTTGAATCACTGATCTACATCGTTGTATACGTGGCATGTTTATATAAAAGCGACTGGTCTTTGGTGTATTGTAAGCTGAATTCCGACGAAATTTTCAATAGTCCTTTGACTGAGCGGCTTCATTCGACACCATTCTGTAACTTTCTACAGCAGACAACTATGGCGGAAAGCAAAGGTGAAGAACGGAAACGAAAGAGACCGCGCGAAGACAAGGACACGAATGTCCGTGAGCTGAAATTTAACTTATCCAACTGCCCCGATTGGGTACACACGCAGAACGATGAAGAATTATTTCAAATTTTTAAACTTGGTGTTGCGGTGAAGGAATCAATCACGATGAACATCACCGGAGGTAAGAAATACTTTGACCACGTTGTTAGCCAAGTTCAAGTCACACAAAGCGCACTGGAAAGGAAATTTGACCAACTACTCGAACCAATTGAAAGTTGTAAAGATACATTGACAGAACTGACATTGAAGCCAGCTTCAAAAGGTGCCGTTGGTGAATTGGTAGTACTTTCAGTACTCCAAGAAGGTTTACCTCAACACACGGTCGAGGACGTCGCCAGAAAGAAAGGAGAATACGGAGACATTCATGTCACATCCACAGAGTCTGAACAAAAATATCTTGTAGAAGTGAAAACACACAAACGTACTCTGGCAGCAGCGGAAATTCGAAAATTTGAGGACGATTTAAGAGAAAACAAGCATTTCAAAGTCGGAATTTTGCTTTCACTGGATAGTGCCATAGCAATGCGGGCAAAACATAGAAAATTTGAAATAACATATGAAGATGAGCAATATTTTATTTACGTGCCCAATGCTCGCAAGGAGGAAAATTTGATTGTTTGGAGTGTATTGCTTGCAGACGAGTTGGCTGCTTTAGACGAAGGACTCACTGACAGCCAGACCCAGGAACTTCTGAAGTTGCAGAAGAAATTCCAAGCGAATATGGAGAAGACTAAGGCATGTCGATCGAGATTTAATTCCCTAAAGAAAATAGTCGAAGATTTGGAGGAAACCCTAATGCCTTTGTTACATGTAATCGACGGAGCCAAAACTGATCTGAACAAAGCCTTGCACCAGAGAGTAAAGAAAGGTCCAAAGAGAGCGGCCGGTCCAAAGAAAGCGGCTTCTATTCCTCCGTCACATAAAATACACAAATACTTCGCTAAGGAAACGACTTCTATTTCCCCGAAAGCGGCGTCTATTCTCCCGTCACGTAAAAGGCGGCTTCGATTCCCCCGTCACGTTACAGTTTCTGATGAAAAAAATTCAGTTTCTGATGAAGAAAGTTCAGCTTCTGATGAAGAATTTACAGTTTCTGATGTAGAAATTTTAGATTCTGAAGAAGAAAGTACAGTTTCTGATGAATTCGAAGAAATTTCAAATACTGATGAAGACGATTGACCTTCCAATAAACATTTGATATTTCTTGCAGTACCTAGAATTGGAACAATGTGGCGACTTTTTATTAGAAATACACGCGTATCAATATAATAACAGAGTGAGTACAAAAAATCGGCTCATGTTGATTTAATTGATCATTTAACAATAACATATAGATCCCATAGTCAAGACCTGAGGACATTGGGAAAATCATTCCCATGGGCCTTTGAGTAATTGAAGTGCAAACATAGGTCAACTGATCTCAAAACTAGGAGTGGATTGACTATCTGCTATGCATATGACTGAAGGCAATGGTAGCCGCCATATCAGTGTGACCACTGCAAATCTAGTATGGTATATTGGTATTGGTGACCGAGTAGAAGAAGTTCTTACATGTACAGTTTCTGGTTGGGGGGACGAAACATTGTCTGAATAGAAATTTATTAACAATGTTCTCTCTTTTCCCTTAAATTTGTCCATGAATAACTTTTGAGTCACACCAAGATGCCGCCACGAGTCTCATTGGGAAACTATACTGACACTCAAGAGACAGCTCAGATTGAACCTCCACCCTTTGAGTGTGAGTGAGCTTTTAGAATACAGGCTTATACTTTTGTGTGCGAGTTCACTCATTTGCATCCGTCAGAAATACAAAATGCCGACAAAATTGCCAGTGTGAACCCATTCTCGTACCCAGAGTCCTTCTTACGCGCGGTGCGACGAGGGGCTCTGGCCAAATCCATATTCCGAACTGGCATCTGATTGGCTAGTTCTAACACCGGATATTGTTTTCTTACCATGTTTTTATGGTATCCGGTTATGGATTTGGCCAGAGCCCCTCGTCGCACCGCGCGTAAGAAGGGCTCTGGGTACGAGAATGGTGTGAACCAGGCTATAATAGTTTGACTGATCCGAGTGACCGTCTTATGCTCGTGCTTCGTTGTATGTAGTGATTTTGACGATAGATAGTTAATCTTTATTGTTATAAATGTAGTTAAAATGATCCGATTTTGCCATTTAATACTTTTTAAATGCAATAAATTTTTATCGGTACGCCTTAATTTTCATCCGAAAATGCAGAAAGTTGACTTTCCACTCGCGGCAGTTTTCAGAATGTTGGCAGGTGCATATGCACGCACTTTTTTTGGCAGCTCATTTATATGCACGCACTTTTTTGGCAGCTTATATTTCTATTACTTTTAACTATATGCTCATTGCACGTGCTCATATGTGGAAAAAAAATGCTTGAAATACCCCCTAAAAGTTGAAAATATAAACTGACATGATAAATAGCGGAGTGATTGGAAGTTGTGCCGTTTTGTTCCCAGTTAAAAGAGAATTATGGCAACCGAGAGCGACGATTTAACCGAAGTGCACGATGCTTACTTTCCACTTGAAAACGCATCTGCGCGAGTTGCGTCTTAACACTTTCATGTGGCCGAAAAACTATGCAGCCAACTTTTCCGGTGAACGAAACTAAAGACGGTTTTCCACTAGGCGGAATTTTGCGCACGGAGCGGAATTTTTCTTTGTTATTTCTAATTAGTTCCACACGAGAAATCACAAGACAAAGAAAAATTCCGATCCGCGACCAAAATTCCGCCTATAGTGGAAAACAGCCTTAATTTAAAGTTTGTTGTTTTGACCCAACCATCTGTGCGCTAATCGTTCGTCAATGATACAAAATCAATACTAATCTTAGACAATTTAGGCGTTGATTATTTTTTAATTTGTAATTCAGTATTTAAATATAGTCTGGCATATTATTGGTCAATTTTCGTTAATTAATATCATGTAATGAATTTGATGGAGGCCGAAAAAGTAATTGTATTTTTTTGCTTCAAATATTCATCTTTTATTTTTCGATATGGCATGATACTGCATGTGATGTGCATTCATTGTAAAAACTATTTTCAAATCTATGCTAAAAATTTACGACAAATAATAATAGTCGGCATAAGTTATATTCAAATACTGTTTAGCTTTAATTAACATAGCCATAGGCAAAACTGGACTTTCGAATTGTCTTTTACTGTCGCATTCTATGGAATATGGAACTCAGTAAATGCGCAAAAACATCTTAAATTAAATGTACACGGCTGGGTTTTTTTTTCAGTTTTCAGGTGTTAATTTCATACACATAATGCCATTTTACATATTTTAGTCAAAGTATATTTGCTTCTTCAAATTAAAACATCATATTTAAATGACATTTTGGTGGCATATGCGTTTAATTTGTTCACTGCAATATTGACATAGCGCTGAATGTCACGTTAACACGAGTTAATAATATGTACCTGCTGTTTGACTCAGTTTGAACTGTGAAGAATTCATTTTCAATATCGTTCATCCGGAAAAACATTGATGAACAGTTGTAAATTTATCTGCAAGGAATCTTGTTTTACAATTATATACTTTTGTTCGCGATCGTGGTGTATGTTTTATAAATAACTGTACAATATACTGAATTTTCTTTGCGAAAGTCAAACGGCTAAATTAGTAAATATCTATTATATGTAATTTGACCGGAATCATATATTTAAGCCTAAATTGAACTGTCTATATTGGATATTATGGCGAACACGCGGAGGTCTACGACAGATGAATATGAAAGCGACTCTAATATGGGAGATGATCAAACGGTTCCTGCAAAGTCACATCAAAATTTGGTTGTTATTCCTGTTATCCCAAGACCGCTGGCAATTTTTTGCCTCGTCGCAAACATTATTTTTCCTGGATCTGGTAATGCGCATTTGTATTAGTAATACTCTTCCTTTGTATGAAATTACGATTCGCTATTCGGACACAGACGATTCTTCCGGACAATGAAAAGATAATTATCTGATACATCGTCTGTGTACTGACACAGCAAGCACACGAATCATGCGTGCGTTGTTCGTTTTGAAGGATCAGTGGTCCGTCAATGTGCATGTCACAAATATACGTCATTACGAACGGAAATATCAGAAAAAATTCATACATAATTTGTTCCGAGAACCATTGCATGTATAATAGTCATAGATATCTTATATACACTAGATAGCGCATCTCTTTTAGTAAAATTGAAGCCAAGAATATTCCAGCGGTTACCCCCATTTGAATATAGATGGCGGCCATGTGATGTTTCCCACTCGCTAATAAACGCTTACAAAACAGCAATAACTTTCATCATTTGAATAGTTTGAAAATGTATTTGGAATAGGTTTAACTAAATGTTTAAGTTCCCTGTTTAAGAAATAGAAAACATACGAGTCTTCTCATTTCATGGGAATATCCTGAGTCTGCAATCACGGCTTCAATTTTTCACTAGTGAATTGTAGAATAATTAGATGCACTATCTATAGTGTATATAAGATATCTATGATAATAATAAGTTGACTATTAAAGTAGGTCATAGAGGCCTATCAGTTGTCGGTACCAGCGGCCGGTTTATCCCCTTTCCGCTAGCGCTGGGATGTGCTACAAATTTTGCGGAATTTTCATGATCAGTTCAGTAGATATTTTAGAACTGTGTATACTTCTTTTTATACGTATATAGCTCAGTTGGTAGAGCATTCATCTGAAGACCGATAGATAGCATTGTTTCAGGTAAACTGGACTGTGCAGTAAGTCATGCACTGCCGTTTCCCCAAACTGAAAAGTGCCAGTTTCGAGCTAATAAATTAATTCACTTGCGCACAAAAATGTAAGGTTTTTAAAACGCAATGTCAATTCATAGGCTAACAAAAAGTAAACGTGAAAATTATCCGTCGAGTCAACAATCTTGCAGGAGTTTGTGATGACAAGTTGTTGAAAAGGATTCGTACAATGAGTCTGCTGCAAGTTTTTTACGTTGTTGTGCGTTTTTGCGTGTGCATCGGATCTGTAGTCTGTATAGACGGATATACTATGTACGTCTCAAGTGTAAAGCCTGTTTTCCACTTCAACCGTATCGTAGCATTTTCTTTTGTGTCGAAGTCATTAGTTCCACTCTATAGTGCTCAGGAAACAAAGAAATACGCTACGCTTCGGTACGATTGAAGTGGAAAACTGGCTTAAACATGCGGAAGTGCACAGTTCCAACACAGTTCCAACAACTCGTTCTTGAGACCGCGTTTCCGGCCACTTCAAGTCTTCAACCGTATCGTACCGAAGCGTATTTCGTTGTTTCCTGAGCACTAGAGTTGAACTAATGACTCGGATACAAAATAAAATGCTACGTTACGTTACGTTACGATTGAAGTGGAAAACCCGGAGCCTTTAAGGCCCATTTCCACTCAGGAAAATTTTCCGGCAGAAGTTTGTAAAATGTGAATGGCCAACACAATTTTTCCGTCGGAAAAAAAATTTTAAAGTTGAAAATTTTCAACTTTTAATAACAATGATATTTTCGGAAAATTTTCTGTCCGTGGAAATTTTTCTTGAGTGGAAATTGGCCTTTATTAGAGTCTTAGGGCCTGTTCATATGGGCAAAAGTTATCCCGGTTAACGAGAGAACTTTTCGACTAGCCAAATACTTTTGTTCTGTTCATATGGAGAAATATTATCCCACTTACCGGGAAAAGTTTCCGGCTGTGACGTAGCACTGAACATCAATTGAATTGAAAAGTTGCTGACACGACAAAAAGTTATCCCGCTAAGCGGGAAAGTTGTGTTCATATGGGGAAAACATTATCCCGGTCACCGAGATCTCGCCTGTCAACAAGCGAGATCTCGGTACACGGGAAAACTTTTCGTAACAAGGCGAGATCTCGCTCGTAAACTTGTCGAAAAGTTTTCTCGCTAACCGGGATAACTTCTGCCCATATGAACAGGCCCTTAGTTAGGGACTATCCCCGATGGAAGGAAACCGGATTACCATGCGCGTTTTCGGGAGAGCGTTGACCGACTCTTTTCACATGATAGTTGAGCCCGGAACGAGAGTGGAACTCACGATCTGGACGAACTTGGGAAATTCAGAGGTGATGAAGGCTCTTGCGCTAACGTTTGCGTCATCGAAGACTCTATATATCGTTCCATTGCGGTCTATATATCCAACATTTATTCTTGCAGGCACCATTGTTTCAGGATTCTCTGTTTTCTGTTTTCATTACGAGAAGGATAGCTGTCTTGAAATGATAAACACCTGTGTGGCAAATGTTCTTGTCGGGTTGTGTCAACTGATCACTGTTGTATTTCTTCTTATTGGTTGGTTTTGGAGTATCATTTGGGGATGTGCTCTGGTTGGTCATTCCAGTAAGTATATGCTATCATGCTGTACAGGCCCTTGTCTCAGTAAATTACAGGCAATGAAACCTTTGTTCTGTCTGTTCAACCTGGGGTGTTTAATTTTGAGTCTTTGAACGGTATTCCCGATGCATTTGCAGCAGAATACAACTATCGTACTGCAGCACTACTGAACACATTTGTCACAAAACCAATAGTTTCTTCCCGGACAGAATGCTAACTTTTTCCACGGCGAAGGGCGGGGGGGGGGGGGGAGAGAGAACAGTTTGGACCTACGACGACACGAGTAGAGTGTCCCCTACTGTCTGAACATCCAGGGCCATTTAAAGCTAATTATTTAGATACGAAGAGATTTGTAGATGTCGAATGAGATCCTAAGTCGAATGAGATGCCTCAAATGGAGGGGGGTAACCTACTGATATTTAGTTCAGATAACAAACATTACAGTTTTTCTCCGCAGTTAGTACAGAACGTATGCAGGTGACGTGATGTTAACGGCCTTTTTTATATTTCTGTCCCAATATAGATTACTACAAAAAAGATACAACTGCCAAACCAATCAGACTAACAGTCAGATCTGCCTCTTCTGTGAAAGATGAAGGGTGATTAGCTCATTCAGACTGAATGGACCAAGAACAAAATTTGTAAAGTAATTTATGAATGCGACTTTAATTTTATTCTCGAAAGGTTTTAAGTCACAACATGTATTTGTAGACTTCCGCAAAGATTTGAATCCAGTCTCCCTATGCGCAATTGCGTAATTACGTATACAGTCAAATACAGTCTCCATATGCGCAATTGCGTCACAGAGTAATTACATACAGATGTCTCACTTCTGCGAAAAAACGTTTTTACTGCGCATATCTGGCGGCCATGTTCTTAGCGAGTGTCTTAAAGAAAGGCATTCACCCCCCTGGAACATTAAATTTCAATATGTTTTCAGTGGGATTACGCCCTCTCCTTAGGGCACTTGCTAAGAACATGGCGGACTGGAAAAATCCCTTACGCTAAATTAACCAAAAGTTAGACCTCTGTATGTAATTACTCGTTGAGGAGTTCTGAACAGAAAGCATCGCGTTTCCCATAAGAAACTAGGCTACGCAAGTAAAAACGCGCAAATTGTTACAGATCTGCAAGCAAGTTGTAACAAGGTTGTCAAGCCGATATCAGGATGTGTCATTGAACTATAAATAAACTGGAAGGCTAACTCAGGGGGGGAAATTGAAGCCAGTGCATTTTAGTTTTTCTGAGTTATGAGCAGAAATACTCAACACTGAACGTTGGGCTATATATCAAATTGAAGCTATTGAAAAACACTATTTGGTGTAGAAATTTCAAGACTTTAGCTAAAAGGCAAATATTGAAAAACTACAAATATAATTACCGATAATTTGCCGTTTTGCAGTTGTTTTCGTATTTTTTAAATATTTTTCTTTTCGCTGAAGTCTTGAAATTTCCACACCGAATAGCAATTTTCAATAGCTTCAATTTGATATATAGCCCGACGTTTGGGGTCAAGTATTTCTGCTCATAACTCAAAAAAACTATTTTGGCTTCATCAAATCATAGGCCTTCATCATAGCAGTTAGCCTTCCAGTTTATTTATAGTTCAACGGGATGTGTTCGCACTTCTTGTTCCCAGTTCTAATTGTGACAAGTCTAGAACTGAGTTCTTATCACCTTGTAACAAGGTTGACAACGGTAACAGACTTGCTACAAGTTGTTCCAGCAAGAGTAAAACAGGCTGTTCCGCCTGTTCGTCACAAGTTGCTACGAGCTTGCTGCCATCGACTTGTTAACAACTTGTTACGTGCAGACGATATCAGACTTGTTGGAACAATATATGTTTGTGATGTTGTCCACACCGGGCAAGCTGAAAAGTTTGTTTCACCATAGCCTATCGAAGGGAAGATGGCTGTGAAACTCATTAGAATAACAATATAACTCATTATCTATGTTAGTCAACGTTTATTCACAAATCTGGTCCTTCACCGTCACGTGTGTATTGTATTTTTGCCCAACTAACCAATAGCAATGTTTTAGGAAAGTCACCTATCCGTAGCCTGCTCGCAGCCTGAAATTTAGAAGGGGAAATTTTCCCCTTCTAAATTTCAGGCTGCGAGCAGGCTACCTATCCGTGACTCGAACAATAGGGAAACTGCAAATTGCTATTGGTGGATTTGGTAAAAATATAATACACACGTGACGGTGAAAGGACCAGATTTTTGAATAAACGTTGACTAACATAGATAATGAGTTATATTGTTATTCTAATGAGTTTGACAGCCATCTTCCCTTCGATAGGCTATGGTTTGACGTACCGCGGTAGGAATCGAACCCACGACCTTTGGTTACCAACGGAGCTACGAGGTCAAGTCGGTTCGAGTGGGTTATATTTCGGAAATCAGTCTAGTTCCTTTGATATCAGTGTGCCTTGCTCGGTGTGGACACACTCAGATACAACATCAAAAACATATATATCTTTACACGAGTGCATAACACCAGACAGAAGCAAAAAAATCGAACTTGTTGTGAGTCTGTTGGCCTCATCAACCTTCAGTTACAAGATCTGATGATAACAACTTCTTTCAGCTTGTAAGAAGTAGGCGAACACATCTTGTTAACAAGCTGTGTGCTTTTTACGCGTGTACATTACGCGTGTGATTATACAGCAGTAGCAAGGTCCACACTGCTCAACACTGCATGAATGACATACAGCTAACTCTACTTTTTGCACAAGTTGTTGCAAGTCTGCAAACAAGTTGTTACAAATGTGTTCACAAACTGTCGACAAGTTGTGTTGGCACTGATGGTTCCTAGTTGCTGTAACAAGTTTGGAACAAGCTGTTAGCAACTTGTATTAAGCTTAAGCTCAATAAGCTGTTAACAACTTGTAATATGGCATTATCAGACTTGTTACAAGGTTGTTCTAACAAGTCTGATACAGTCATGATATAACAAGAATGTTGCAAGGTTGACGACACAAGGTTGTAACAATTATATTGCTATATCATGACTGTATCGGACTTGTTGGAACAAATCATGCAACAAATCTGATATCAACAAGGTTGTTACAAGTTGTTAACAGCATGTTCCAAACTTGTAACAACTAGCTTGGGACAAGCAGTGCGAACACCACTTGTTGACAGACTTACTACAAGATGTGAGATTTTTACGCGCGCAGTCTACGGTCATTGTGATTACACAGCAGTAGCGAAAGCCCTGCAACAGCAGTAGTTAGGCCCACACTTGCCAACACTGCATGAATTATGTCTATATACGGCTAACCCGAGTTTATTCGAGTCTGTATACTCCTCATAATTATCAGCCAAGGCAGGCTGACGTTTATACACATGCAGAGACTCTGCGCAGGCCCAGCTAAGTTTCTGAACCTCTTTTGGTGACTGTTGTATCAGCCTACTGTCTGTACATATTTGCTTGCACGTGAGCAACTCGTTTTCACCACATGTTCGTCGCACTGCATAGTTGAGCCCAGGACCCTCGGCTGGAATTGAAGCGCATACACCCATAGCGAGTTCGTCGAGATAGTTGTAGAAATAGGAACGAAAACCACGACGGTAGCGCTTTAGAACAAGTTCGGAAGGAAGGGAGTTTTGAAGCAGCCCTGCCGAAAAATAAATGAATAGCTTCAAATTAGTTTGGTTCCCAGGCTTTATCGCTCGGTTGGGCAGCATGACATGACAGGGCCCCCAAAGACCCATATCAAAATATATCGACTGGAAACCGTCGGAGTATGTTGAACTTTATATAATACCTTATTGAATTCTGATCGTTGAATTGGCTGTTTATGGTCACGTGATATTGAATAGAAAATTCCATTTCCCAAGAGTGCAATGGAATACGTTCCATTGCACTCTTTGCGAGTGCAATTGTATTATACGTTTTATTCCATTGCACTCCTTGTGCTTTGGATAAAATGCATCCGTCAAAATGTGTGTATTTATTTTAATATTAAATGGTGTTTTAATAAACTGTTCTTGAAAAAGCAATATTAGTCTATTTTGGTAATATATAAAACAAATAATGAATGTTTATTCGTGCAATGGTAAGAATATTTTCATTCGGTGAAAGATGAAAATATTCTTACCACTGCACTCACAAACATTCATTTTTTGTATAATATACAACATGTAGATGAGACTGGCAAAATTAGAATATGCATTATCAAAGTATTCAGCTGTTCAATCATTATTTGTATTTCACTTGGAACTGTCGTTAAATAATTTTTGAATTAGCATATTTTGCCCGTTCTGTGCAAAGCAAAATTAAGGTCTACATGCACCAGGCCTGTAACTAGGATTTTGCAGTAGACTTGCTACTAGGTATATTCAACATAGTTAGAAGTTGTTCCAACAACCTGTTATCACTGGACAATTCAACAAATTGTTAGTAACAAATTAGCCTTTCTCACGGTCGATTTTTCTGCCATTTTGGGGGTACTGCCTCTCCCACGTTTGAGAGTTTCCGCACCACGAAATGCGAATAGTCTAGAATCTTTCACGAGGGCAGACAGTACCCCCAAAATGGCGGATTATAGCCTTCGTGGGAAAGGCTAATTGCAAGCGTCGAACTTGTAGCCGAACTTGACAAAATTGGTTTGTATTTCCAGCGGAATCCAGTATCCGGTTAAACTAATCAATGACAATGAATCAGATGACTCAGATGTTTCGTCGTAGTGATAACACGCCGATTTAGCGCCCTTTTAACTTAATATGCATCTTTGTAAGTATTATATTTAAGGCCTATATTTGGCTCTAAACTGATTGCGTAAATTATAACCATAATTTTAGTCTACATAAAGGTTAATGAAATTCTACAAATTATATTTTTTTAACTGCAAAACAGTGCATTTCCGTCTAGCTTCTGTCACGACTTGCAGTCACTTGATTTTCTGTTATAAATATATTTGGAAAGTCAACACATCAATAACCCCCGACGGTCCCATCCAGACTGGGCATACCAGGATCATAAATCCTCTTACTACAAAGATCACGGGATGAAAAAATAATTCACGTCCACTTACTTCGATTGTCTGTGAGACTTCTTTTGTCCTTTGGAGACCTTTCGTTCGAGCGCCTTTCTTCCCGATTTTCATATAGATTCTGACGCAGAAACAACCCGCCAACAGCCACCATTATCAATAAGCACAGCAGTAGAACAAAATTCTCATTCATTTTTCTCATGTCATGATTACTAGCTAGCAAATGCTATTTACATTCCCTTCAAATGAAATTGTTCTACTGACCGAACTTCATATCGAAAATTATAAACACATTTATAGGGGCACGTTTGGATGACTTTGATGAATAATATCACACTTTGTTGATATATTTTTTGTCAAAGTTACGTATGATTCTTTTTATGACGGCTTATGCATAAAAACCTGTTGGTCACCCGTAACTTCACTTAGTTCGCTTTGGACAAAATTCATCCCTGCCACTTCGTATTGTGCATAAGATACACAATATATTTGTAATAGTACGTATTATGCATATATATATATATACACTATATTCACTTCGCCTTCGGCTCGGTGAACCGAAGTATAGGTTTGTAATCACTAATTCAGTAATTGTCAAATAGAAACCCGTAAGTTCGTAACACTAGAAAATTCAATAAATTTATCTCTACACACAATACATTAAAATGAACAGTTTAATTAATATACTATAATTCATAAATGCTTATATTCTCTTTCTAACATTCCACACTATATAACTGATTATCACACAATATAAATATTTTATAAATACTTATATCAATAACAAATTCCGTAGAGGGCGAGTTAACCCCGTGTTGATGGGGACACTTCAAAACAATGACCACAAGAATCGCAGGCTCTCAACGTGAACGGCACATTTTTGTGGCAACAGGGACATGTCCGTTGGGAGACTGGAAATGAATCTTCACTGAATTCCTGACACGTAGCTTTTCCATGGTAACCGGGGCTGGCAATGTAACCTCGCCTGAAAGTTGAGCCACCGTGCATATTGTACAGTGGTAAAGACTCAGACGCAATGGACGCTGGGAGATATAAACGGTGGTGTTGATTCATGGGATAGGGTAATAACGGCGGGAAACCGGGTGGGATAAATTGAGGACATCTAGGTACACCCATGGTCATTGATTGATACTTTAAGCTAGCCATGGCTTTTTCGTGGCTTGGCAACACACACTCAATTGTTTTAATCAAATCGTTATTGCATCCCTTGTGAATAAGTTGCAAAACACTTCTCTTTTGTGTGGGGAATAATCGACAAAGTAATTCTATAGGAGGGCATTTGGGTTTGCCCTTACCGTCTTCTCCAATTGCGTAAACTGGAGACGAGAATACATTCATATTATCGTAATCTGTCGGTAATCTTTCGGCGAAGTCCGGACGTTCGTCGTCAGTTCGTTGCGAAGTCGTGTTGTCGGGTCTCTGGTTTTCATCAGGAGTGAGTGTCCTACGTCTTTTGACGGCGGTTGTTTGAGCTTCTGTGTCGTCGTTTGATTCTCGCTTGAGTGTTGTTTCACAGAATGTGTTGTCTAGAGGATTGAAAATGATAAAAAAATCAAGGCTATGCGTTTTAAGGTACTAAGCCTGGTAAAACCATCACAATGATCCCTGGGATCGGGACGGGATGTGAGGCAGATGATTTTGATATATATTGAAATAAGTCACGGTGCACGATTCAGCAAAACAACGTTATTAGTTTCTAGTGATAGACTATAGTATAATTGTAAACGAAAGTTTTTTCTAGCGGTAATAATAATCTTCTTCAAATACGAGACTTCTCAATGCACCTATAGACCCATTGCACTGACGTCACAAATCCTTAGAGTGTCCTCCAGATGCTCCCTAACAATATCTATTCGGGTGCAACAACCACATACAGCGCGAAAATTAACCATTTTAATACCAAATTATTGTAAAGTTTTTCAAAATTTGCTTTGTTTACAAAAGTTATATTATGCATAGATTGCTACTTTGTCCTCCAGATGCATAGTCGTCACCGGCGCTGTGAAGTCATGTGCAATGGGTCTATACGCCATAGGACGTATATTGCATTTTTCGCAGCTATTCCTAGTTATGTCTAATAAATGTATATACAATTTACAGTCGTAATTTCCATCCACATGCCAAAAAATCTCGACATCTTCTCAACAATATTTGAGTTATTTTAACCGGCGTTTGAACTTTCGTTTAAGCCTTGTGATGTATTTCAATACATCAAAATCATGGACCGCCTTCCATCCCATTCCGGCAAACCAAGATCATGTAGACAGACCCTAAGACGCCTATAACAGGAGAATATTTGTGTGCAAAACTATCACTTGTCGTGTGAAAGAAATTCATCAAAAATTGGTAAATCGATGGTAAAAAATTAGGCCTCACATGAATTGAGGTCAATCAATGGTAAAAAATAAGACCTTATCCCACAAAGCACAAAATCTGCGAGCTCTAGACTATCACAATTCACCCTTCAGGAAAGTACGTCACCTTGGCTATAAAGCCTCGTTTTCGTAATTGAGACATTACAGTCGTTAGGTTTTAACCAATGTCATATACACAAAAACGAGGCTTTATAGCCAAAGTAATATTTTAGCCACGAAGCTCAGATCCAACTTTACTACACATTGAAGTTCAGCTCCATAAGCTTCGCATTAGCGTGTCGGAACAGTACTGAAGTTGTGCAAATATTTGAAATTTAGCATTTCGCGACAACAATCTTGCCAACTGCACTCAAGTATACTTTGATGGTGGTAAACGTGGCACTTGTGGACAATGTGTTCTCAAGAACTGTTTGACATGCTATCAGTCAAAATGGAGCCCTTTTCAACAACTCTGAGACGTCATTGGGAGAAGATATTTATCTTAGTGCTGATGAACCAAGTGTTGGAATGCCGGAGAAAAATATTTCAAATCAGTTCGCAAAACTACTTATTCCTCTTACTTGTTACTTATTTCGCATTCTCTAATTTCATCTAAAGTGTTCTAATGAAGAAAACAACTTTTTGGACAAGTATTGTCTTTGAAAACATAGCTTAAATTGAACAAGGTGACGGAGGGTGCAACTTGGCTTGAGGAAGACTGAAACAAAAGTTCGTTGACATTCTCAAGAGCAGGATTTACTAAGGAATGTTGGGCAAACAACTGGATTAACAGTTCTTAAATGATTTAATGTCACTAATTGAATGCTAATGAACCACATCCTCCTGTTTAAGTACAAGCGAACTTAAGATGAGCTAAATCGAGTAAGCGGACGTGACAAAAAGACAGTTACTTATGCCTTTCTTTTGGATTTGTTACCAGTTTATATCTGTTTTTCCCCTGTATCCTTCTTTGTTGACAAAAAGAATCCATATTTTTTACCCACGTTGCTGACACTGCGAATTTAGGATGTGTTTTTTGTCACATCCGCGAATTAGATTTACCACATCTTCAGCTCTCTAATACCAACAATAATATTCATATCAGAAACTGTAATAACTTTAGGACTCTGTTTTAAAATTGATGTAATAGCTCACACATACCGATTAAGAAACAGTAAAACAACGCCCTGCTCAGACGAATATGAAACCAATTGATGAATGTTGACAAGCAAGAGTTTTCTCAACTCTCATGCCCCGGTCAAATGGGAACAAGAGTTGATGAGAAATGACTAGATACAACCTGTCAAACTCGAGTAAAACTCTCACATCAAAATTTGAACTAGCTCAAATTACTCGAGAAGAGGTAGAACTACTGAAACGGGAATAATTCTAACGGACACCACCCAAGTTAATTGCTATTAATTGCTTGAGCGCTCTAGCTCGCTTCCTCTCCAATTAATAAATTTCATAGTAGATAATAGATATAAACTAAAGTATAGTGAATGAAAATGCAAAACAACGCACGCCAGCTAGCACCTCCCCCCCCCCCCCGTCGGGGAAGGGACCATGTTTCGTAAGCAATGTCTTTTGCATGTAGTGGTGTTAAACAGACTGTTGAAGACAATTTTGAACTTTTCTAGTGGCCAGTGTATGAAGCGCCAATAAAATTAACAAGCTTTTGTTGGGAGCATGCCGCCCCCCCCCCCCTCTCCAGAATGTGTTCTTGCCTGTACGAACATAGCTGAGCTTAGCCCCTTTGTCAGGGAATTCATGGCGCCACCACTGTCACACTGGACTATGTTGGAGGAGCGTGTCGATGATCACGCGTAATCGTCAAATATTGCATAATATTATGGATGCAAAATTTAAAGAATGTCAAACTCTATCTACATCTTCCAACACAAGCCAAAATTACTCAATATAGTTGATCTCATGATATAGTTGATCTCAATATAGTTCATCTCAATATAGTTGATCTCAATATAGTTGATCGCATGATATAGTTGATCTCAACATAGTTGATCTCAATATAGCCAGTTGGTCTCAATACAGTTGATCTCAACTGGAATATAGTTGATGATATTGGACCAACATGTTGGTCTCGTTTGGACGGGAGTTTGGCTTGTGGCGCAAACTCTATGAACTGTATGGAAAGTTGCGGGGCAGATACGGTTGGCATCAAGGGCAAGGCACTTGAATATCCACAGACGCCGTGTGGATGTCCCGCCCAAAAACCCTGGCTTGCGAGGTTGTGTCCCGCCTTGCTTTCAAGTCTTCCGCACATGCACTTTGAGGAAGACTTCGAGTACTCCAAGTTCAAACGCCGTGTTTATCTAATGTAGATGACAGGAACTCATTCTTTCACCTCATTTGCATTGCACATGAAATTTGAACATTCGAACTAAGCCAGGCCCGGGTAACTATATTCTTTGTTTGCAATCACATGACTTTTCATCCAAATGACGGGCAATCAAACAACTTGTGGAGGATTTTTCTCCTATCAGAATGGTTGTAGCAAGAAAAACTGAACGGTAATTCATCTTTTGAGTCTTAAACTGTCTCTGAACTAGATAATACATCGAGATAGCCGCCTGCCCGTCAACTGAAATCCCAAAATTACGTCTTGCAAACAAAGAATAGGATTTCCGACACGAGCGCCGAAAACTTGGGTGACATACTGCCCCAGAATACTTTTGATTTTCCGAGGCTTTGACCCCACTCAAGTGATGAGAGTTGGCAGACACGCATTAATGTCACGGGGGACATTTCAAACTCTAGATTAACAAAATAAAGACAGTTTGACGAGTGTTCCAACTACGTCTATGTTTTAACTTAATAAATATAATACATGAATAACATATGATAGTGTCGGGAAAGCATTAAGATCGCGTGACTGCCAACTCTCAAGCGCTCTCAGTCTCATATCCTCGTTTGATCCGGATTTAGAAACGCTATTTCCTGCGTTCTGAGAGCAGTTTAATTAAGGCCCATGTTTCCACTCAGGAAAATTTTCCGCAGAAAGAAAATTTTGTAAAATGTGATTGGCCGACACAAATTTTCAGTTGGAAAAAAAATCTTGAAGTTGAAAATTTTCTACTTTTAACAATGATATTTTTGGAAAATATTTCTGTCCATGGAAATTTTTCTTGAGCGGAACCATGCGGCATGCCTTTACAACTAAAAATCAATCTCAAAAACAGTGACGCAATGGCCATAATTCTATAAACAAGCTTCCAACGTACTTACGAACCGCGAAAAAGAACTGGAAAGGACTTTGGGAAAGTCTACTATATACCAAAAATCGCATGAAGCAAAAAGCTATCCTAATGTACAAAGTTACTTAATAATTGTGCTCCTCAATACTTGCAGCAGTTATTTACACCCAAAACCCCCGTTTACACTACGCTCAATTTTTGGTACGGCACGGATAAAATTGGTACCCGTACCACCTTTTTTGGTTCTTGGACTACCTATTTAGCTAAGCCCCGTTTACACTACGCTCACTTTTTGGTACCGTACCACTTTTTGGTTCTTGGACTACCTAAATAGGTAGTCCAAGAACCAAAAAAGTGGTACGGGTACCAATTTTATCCGTGCCGTACCAAAAATTGAGCGTAGTGTAAACGGGGCTTTTAAAACGTTCTTTCAGCTACAGTGGTGCTTCCCTGTGGAACAGCTTGTCAGAACAGCTCAGATCAGCCCCTTCTCTCAATTCATTCAAAGTCGAATTGACTAACTTCCTATAGTATACTGAGTATATGGACTCTTGCACGGCAATCATGTAAAACAGTAATTATTATTTTTATCTTTTGACTAACATTGTACATATTTAAATTTGTGTATTTTATTCTTGTACTGATGATTCTTCCGTGTTGAAATAAAGTGTATGTATGTATGTGTATGTATGTATGTACTATATACCTCAATCCTTACATATTTTCAGGTAGTTGTATCCCTACCAATGAAACCTTACAAACACTGACAAATACAGCTCAAGACTATATATAATTCTATACTATAGTCTATCTCACAATTGTACTCCAATCCGATAAGAATTACAAATATTCCAGCTTGCGCCATCATGATCGTTTGCGTTTCATGACGCAAATGTGAATAATCACAGACACAGTTCATAATTTGTCTTGAGGAAGCAACTGCTATTCATAGAATTATCTATCTTGTTTCCCGAGGGATCAAGCTTGATGTTTGTCTCTTATCGTTGCATATAAATTAACGATAAAATCTCAATTTAACAACTACGCTTTTGACGCATGCGAAATCGCAACTTCAAATCTTTAATTAAAAGTAAAAAAAAAACGTTTTAAGAAGATAGTTTCTAACTATTCATTAACACTTTCCCTGACGAGTAAAATCGTCTGGCATTAGACAGAGTGCAACGTTGGCATTTAAAATGATATAGCTATAGCACCAGATTCATGAAAATCTAAAGCGTGACGAATCTGAGAGACGCCAGAGTCAGACAGATTTTTTTAATAAAACAAAACTTTTAATAACAAGTTATCAAATTTCATCACAAACATTGAAATACTTTCCAAGTCTCTGCCATTGGGCTTTCTTCCCACGGGAAGTTTATTAAACGCGTCACCTGTGACTGGAGACTGCAGTGTCCCACTTTGTAATACTATATGTTTTTACAAACCTTAAATTGTTGTGCACACAAACGGCGTTTAAGTGTTTACACTTTGAAAATGAGATACAATACACAACATACCAACGAAAACAAGCTTACCTTCGTCCGAATGTGGCGAAATTGATTCCTCGCGTGCTGGCATACCGAATCTGTCCGGTGCTTGGCCAAACATTGGCAAACAATGTGATGGTAAAGACAGCACGTTGTGATCTTCTTCCGTGTCACGTTTCAAGGCAACTTGGGCGGCCATCAAGCGTTGTCTCTCAATAATAAGGCTGCATTTTGAGCATTGGCACTCTTTCCATTCGCAGTAACGTTTGTGGCCCTTCAGGTATGAGATTATACCATGATTTCTGCATCGAGCACAGCGTGGGGTCCGAACATTTTCCTCCGTCGCAGATGGCATTTCGCTGGGACTTGCTAAAACATCAGTCATATTCTTGCGTGATATCTATTGCAGTTCTTATAAATCAAATCGTTCCAGCCAAAACACTTGAATATACTGTTTGAAACTTATCAAAAGCCTGTTTTCGACCTCAAAGTGTCTTTACTGTCTCGACTAAAGTAACGGAATGACACAGTACTTGTAATGTTGTATGCTTCGAACGTGAGAGGATGCTTCGAATTAAACAGTTAAATGGCAACTATTTACTACATGTCATTCGTCTTTGTATCCATTGTTATTTAAAAAGTTTCCGACCAACCAAAATTCAATAAATGGTTTAGCAAACAATAGCGGCCGTAGCTTGTTTAAGTGTTTAGAAACAGAGCAGAGCACGGCGTCGTAATTTGCATGTAAATGATTCTAACCGGATATCAGGTCTTAAGTTGTTTTAATTACAATGATGGCTAAATCTCGTTACGCCTTCGTGATGAATGTCAATGTTTGATTTGGCTTTGAGATTGATTCGAGTCAAGCAAACAGAGTTTTGTATAAATGTATATATAAGACTGACTACGTTTTCAAAGTATATAGAGAAACAAAAAATGTCAGTGCATTTGTCTTGGTGAAATTGATCATCCCCATGGGACCCTACCAATTAATTAAGTTGTGAAGCCAGGTGTTGCAAACGTGCGCACTTGATATCAGTAAAAAAAAGAGATAAAATCGAATAAAGAATAGTGCATGGAAGCCCAATGTAAAATGGTATATATTGTATATCAAAAGTTACCGTACGTCATGAAGGAAACGGTTTTTATTCAAATTGAATAATTCTCAAATCTCAATGTGACTCTGTGCCCCACCAAAAACTAAAAAAAAGATCACTGAATGTTGTTGTGATAATGTTATAATAATAACAATTTTAATGATACTCGACTCTATGAATTAATTATAGCAAACTTAGCTACTATTTGAATTATATTAATAATATTAAAAGTTTATGTTGATAATTCACATGCATGCCGTTTCTAGTACACCAAGAACTTATGGCTACAACACATGAAAATGTGAATTACGGTATTTAACCACGCAAAGATACAGATGCATATCTTCTTGGTTATACCACGTGCTTCATATCTACAGTACATTTACACATGATTATCATAAATATCTTTCAGCAAGTCAAAAATGCACACCTTCCAAATTTCCCGCTTGCATTTTACTGTCAAATATCCGGTGGGAACAAACTTAATCGATGCCGGTGGCGAATTTCCTAGTAATATCGTCCTCCCGGAGGGCGAATTTCCTAGGATTATCACCCCCTAGAAATTTCACCCCTTTAGTCGTAAGGACAAATGGTTACAAATAGAAATTTGTCTTGTAGTTACAATAGTCTTAAATTGAACAGCCATGCCCATGTGAAATGTTTGGTTAACTAAATTATAAGATACACAACCTCGTCCCCAGGGTCTTCCTCGTGATGGCGCGCGGACCCTGGGGACGAGGTTGGACACAAACGTCATTATATTAAATTAAAGCGATTCTATATTAGCCTCCTCCGCAGGCAACTCTTGTTTCCCACTAGCTCCCAAATATATACCGACCTTTCAACCAGAAGAGACAATATTTTTAATTTGTCGAATTTGTATGACTACATTAGGAAACATAAGGGGACATTGCGATACAAATGTTGTTCTATGTGGTGGTTAATGCGGGCAGGCGTCCCCAAACTTTCGATATGGATTGATAGCGTGAATAAATTCGATTCTCTTCTAGTTGAAAGGTCGGTATATATTTGGGATTTGTGGGAAACAAGAGTTGCCTGCGGAGAAGGCTAATTCTATATATATACATGAAACATACTTTTACTTTTTACTTCAAGTCTGTTTTAAGGATACTTTGTAATTTTTACTTAAATCAGTTTTGCCTCCAGTACTTTTTACTCTTACTCAAGTCGTTTTATTGTTAATTACTTCTACTTTTACTCGAGTACAAATTCAAAGTAATTTAGGCACCACTGTTAGCTTGTCAACTCTCATAAATTCTCGTCCTCTGTTTGAGTCAAACGTTTGTACTGAAGGAAAACTGGGTATAGCATGTAACATTCATTCTTACCAAAACCATTGATACTGAAAACAAATTTTACCCGCAGAGCTGGTCTAACAAAGAGGATTCATTTTCATTCATTCTCGTCAGTAATGAAAAAGGAAACACCCCTAACCATTTAATTCAATTGTTGGCCACGCTAATCCTTTGGAAAGCGGAACAATTTGAAAACGTTTCTTATAACATTGGTATACGACCGATACATTATAACACAATGCTGGGACGACAAGCGTGTCTTGTAGACAATAGACTGTGCTTGAATGAAGTGTTTTGCAACATTTCCACATTGAAATGCTAATCAACCCTAGCAACGCCACACGCAAAGATAAGGAATGCCGAAAGAGAACAGAAAATGTTTTCGCTGGAAGAATGGCGCCGATTGAAAATTTCATATTAAGAGATTTTTCACATGTTATTATAGGAGCGGCTAGAAAGCAATATATTATAGAAGTAATGATACTTTAATTCGAACGTGGGTCTCCATGCAGTGATGTCTGTGATATTAATTAATTTCGGCAGCTTGTATTGAAGTGATGCTATAATATATCCCATATAGTTTTGATATTGGCTTCATCAATTATTTTAATAATATAAAGTAATGTAAATTAACTGTAGAACTGAACAAAATCGTCGTTAGAGCCACATGGTCCATAGAGGAAAATTGCAAAGTTGAGGTACTCTGAAAAAACCCAGTTCAAAGTTTTTGTAAAAAGGAACAATAAATGTCTTTCAATGAGCATCCACCTATGTCAAAGGTTCTAGAAAACAATAAACTACTGAAGACGAAATAGCTAAACAAAGACGTTTTCAATGGAAAGAAGCCAAATAAAATGGTTTTGAGAGGTATACTCCTCCAAATATCACATCTTATATATACATGCACAAATTGTCTTCCTAAGTTGTCACAAATTTGTTTTCAGAGTATCAAAGTTGTTAAAATTTAGTTGTTCCAGTAAGTGTTATATCGCCTGAATGTTATATGGCAGGTTGAATGAATTATAATTATAGGCTTGTGCCGTATCCAACCTTACAGAAACTTGTTATGTATTGACAGTATCATACTTGTTCGAACAACTTGTAACAATTCTGAACTACCATCAATTGCTTAATTGTTGCAACAACTTGTAACAAACTACTATTTATCATAATACTAAAATGAGTAAAAAATGTTGTTTTACTCAAACAGAATTTATTTGACACGAAAATGACATTAAAAATATTAGCTTTAAAAGAGGTAAAATAGTGTATTGTTAACTGAATGTATTATGTACACAAGAACACGCGAAACTTGTGAGAAATATGTTGATATTTAAGATCATCTATATAAATTTATATAACCATGCATACAATGTCACACACCAAAACTTTACAACGATTGCATGGTCATTAAGTATGTTCCAAAGACAATTCAAATTATACTAAAAAGATCAATTTTCTTATATTACTCAACCATCAAGTTAATTTATCGTATTTCCTAAATGCTCCTTATAATATTTGCACCGCTTCCGACGTATTGAAAGTTGCCTTCCTTTTCCCTGATAATATATGCATACAACTAACAGACCTCCTAGAGTTCGTACACTATGCAGTATTCAATTTGAAACAGTTCGCTTCAGATGCGATGTCAATTGTGTCTGTCTGTAAATTAATTGCAGCGTGCTGACAGTGTTTGGTTAGCTTATAAAATCCTCGTATTTCAACGAGGAATCGAAATAGATGGCTTTACAGACGCCTCCTGGCTGTTTTTTCGTGCAAAATCGATTTAACGGACACGTGCTTCAAATAGAAAGCGAGACAAGTAATGTTTCGTTGAGACCGAAAAGCGACAATGCATCTGGCGATCAACTATGGTACAAAGATGGTAATTTTATCAAATCCAAACATAATAACTTAGCTTTAACTATGAACCCAGGAATGGCTGTGACTGGAGCGAAGTTATATGTAGCATGCTGTCAGTGGAGTCCGTATCAAAAATGGATTACAAAACAAAAATGTCGAATTGCGAATCACATGGAACAATGTAAGCGAATTTACTGTACTCTGTAGGCTGTAGCATATTGCCCAAAGGCTAAGTTATTAATAATCTCTGTATGAGCAAGGTTAGATAGATAGGTAGAGAGCTATAGAGTATAGATCGAATAGATGAAAACTTGGTGAAAACTTGCAGGCGAAAATTTTAAATTCTAAGTATTATCTATATTGACATTGATAATTGTCGTTAATTGTTAATGTTTTTAAAGTATCTTACAAGTGTCGTACAAGTGATTCAAGTATTTGAAGAGTCCATGCATCTTCTCTGCAAGCTAATATCATAAAGGTAGCGCTCTTATCTTGATGTATAATATCTCTATTTCCTATACCAGCAATCTGGCAGTGGTTCAGGTGTATAGACTGTATACGCAATGGGTCACAAAGAATGTTGTTAGATTGGTGAGCTGACTGTGTTAATTGATCATCCTTTCTTTAAATATCGTTTCTCTTTACTCGCCATGCATGTAAAATATGCAGTATATAACAGTAAATACAATACAATATTTGGAACCTCGTTAGAAATACAATGCAACTCATTATCAATGTTAGTTCAGTCAATTACAGTAAAATGCGAGTCTTTTGCATGTCACTCATTCAACCACATCCGCTAGGAAAGGAAAAATTGCTAGTGTGAAGCCATTCTCGTCCCCAGAGCCATTTTCACCCGGTCACTTGTTGACTAAAATTAGGCTCTGGTAATCGCTCCGGGTTAGACGACCAAAGGGAGAGATATGATTGGCAGGGACGTCGCTACAGGGGTGTGTGTGGTGTTAGGGTGTAACACCCCCCAATAATTCAAAACGTTGGTCAAAGTTGGTCAAAATGGAACTAATATTCGCTTAAAATTGAAGGTCAAAGTTGGTAAAATTTGGTCAAAGTTTGAGATAAAAATGGTCGAAGTTATGAAATCGTTCGCAATTTTAACAATTTCTAAGCTTGGTTATGTTTGCGCTGAAACAATTGCAAGCCTTGCTTATTTTGGTCGAAAATATTTGAAACTTTGCTTATGTTAGTACGGAAAATTTTTTGAACCCCCCCGTCGACAACATTTTCGGGAAACATTTCTACTACTTGGTCAAAATTCTAGGAACCCCCCCCCCCAAATGTTGATGTCTTTACGACGTCCCTGATGATTGGCTTCTCAGGGAACTGCTATTTCGCAGAAGTTGAGCAGTTTTCGCTAGGCAAAATTATTCTATCAACAAAACATGTCAACACAAATACTTCGTTTCTTCGTAATATTTCTCTGAAAATTGTTACGGGTGCTAAAGAGTCCAAATTCAAGGGTATGCGCTTTAGAGACTACTGCAAGTTTTTTGCACTTCCGCAACCTCGTGCCCAGGGCTTCTGATAAAGGTCGCGCTCCGTCGAGAGGCCCTGGGAACGAGGATGGTGTGAAGCAGGCTTAAGCAGGCTTTAGATTGAACGATTGTTCATGTACGAGATTGTATTCACTGATCTCAAAACTCGGATAGTTAGAACATCCTTTTGATTTTGAAGAATGAAAATTTTTTTCCAAAAACCTACAATCTTTTTGGCGTTCCAACTTTGTTTTAGCTTATTTTGTAGTTTAAACTTTAAACATTTAGCAACCTTTTTAAAAATGTATCTGGCGGGTGAGAAACACAAAAATAAATGAAATATTGTCAATTTAAATACAATTATCATTGATGCCATATTTATACAGCAATATAAGAAAACTTACTGAACTTCAGACTTCATTTTCTCTTTGGCGTACCATTTAAAATGTTTTCATTTTAGCCGCATAATTTTTCAGATATTACACAGCTTACTATACATTTTTAAAGTTTTAAGCCCCACACTTCAATACCATAATAGAAAAGCGACATGAATATAACATATCAAATAATTTACACAGGCAAAGTCATTTGCTTGATGACTAAGCTAAATTTAAATACCTAACAAAAATGTCTTCCCATTATGAAAATTTAGGTTACAAAATCAGGTTCGTTGAATTCAAAAAGATAGCCAAATCCAGTCCTACAATCCTGGCAAAAATTATTGTGGACAATAATACCTGCCTTGCCCAATACATAGGTGCAAAACAGCAATTTTTAACACCCCCCTTCAATGTTGAAAGCTTATAAATTGTCACTGTTAGGTGAAAGCTTTTTGAAATCGTCGACCCAATATATTCCTGTTTGTATTCTTATAGGTTTAGTATTACAGACAGACGATAGTTCTAACGTTAGAGTCAAGCTAGAACATTGGAATGACGACCCAAAACAACTTTGGGACTTTGTGCCGGTGGGAAAAAAGACCACTAGTGAAGAAAGAATCAGTCTTCTGTCAACAACCACAGAAATATGACGGCAGGGACAGTCGAGTTGTGAATAGGAAAATATATTGTACATATGAATGCAGAGATACACCTAAATATTTCATACATATAAATTAATGAATAATGATATATTGAATAGCAAAAACAGATATATAAGGCAATTCGGAGCCACTGCGCATCCAAATGACGCGTTGTGCGTCGGTTTGTGTCTCTCTATAATAGCCACAATAGAGGTTTGCACTCATTCCCCAGGGGACCAACTCAACAAAAGCCATGGCGGCCATGTTGGTGTTCTAGACAAAAGAGTCTAATTAAAATTCTTTTGAATTGGAACACCAACATGGCGGCTGTGACGTCATGTGCAAACGCTCCAGCATATTTTGTGTTCTGTGTAAAGCAAAATAAAGAAAGGTACACTTAATTAAGGGAATACAGGGTGTATCAAAAAATGGGCACCCTTTCAAAAAATTGAAATTAGCCATAACCTTTTAAATCTTCGTTGCTCTGCAGTTGCCACCATTTTATATCCTATAAGCAGACTTCAATAATGCTTAATTTAAACATTTTTCTTTGAGTTGTGTATTTGTTCATACAAATAGAAGTTAGCCTGAATTCCAATATGCAGAAGACCTTGTGTTTTCACGCATTCATTAATTCGAGAAATTATACGGCTGTCAAATTACTACAATAGATTACGGTTAATTTGAATTTGAAAGGGTGTACGTTTTTTTGATACACCCTGTATAGAACTGTCATTAAATAATTTTTGTACTAGCATATTTTGTGTTCTGTGTAAAGCAAAGTAAAGAAAGGTACACTTAATTAAGGGAATGTATTTTTTAATATAAAGGACGTTGGCAATAAAAAATTAGTTTAGTTCATTTGAAAGAACTCTTAAAACTATATATTAAACTCTATTATAGATTGTTTATATCTTGCTTAGTTTTCAAAATATTTCGACTGAAAAAAGTGAGTTGTTCGCCATCTTGGATTATTGAGGATATGCATGTTACGTCAAGAGAGGGGTCACGCTATTTTTTTATCTTGAGAGTAAGCGATCAATATGGGTCCAAAACTTCGTTTCTGGTTGCTGTCTGAACTTTAGAAATTATTAAAAACATTTCAAACAATTTTGGATTGTTACTCGGTCATTTATAGAGCAGTTCTATATGGTTAACCCAACTCCTGACGTCATCAAAACCATAGTTAATGAGGTCAAGAATTAGTCCAAGATGGCCGACAGCTCATTAATTTCGGTCTAAATAGTTTCGAGAACTAAGCAAGATATGACAAATCGGTAATGGAGTTTAATATATAATTTTAAGAGTTCTTTTGAATGAGACAAACTATTTTTTTATTGCCAGTGTCCTTTAAAGCGAGCCTACCGTGCGGAAACTAATTGTTCTTTGAGCAACTTTTGCATATTCAAATGAAATTGAACAAATGAATGCTTTAATATGCATACGGTATTCTAATTCTCTGCTACTGTTCAACTGCAATTTATCCTGATGCGAACTCTGAAATGGCTAATATACAGTTCCATACCTAGGGCTTCTGTGCTTGTGGCGTTTACAAGCTCAGAAGCCCTGGATAACAGGTTGGCTTATATATTGTAATGCCAAGCATAGCCTATCGAAGGGAAGATGGCTGTAAAATTCATTAGAATAACAATATAACTCATTATCTATGCTAGCAATGTTTATTCATAAATTCAACTAACCAATAGCAATGTTTTAGGAAAGTTCCTATCCGTGACTCGAACAATAGGGAAATTGGAATTTGCTATTGGCGGATTTGGTAAAATACAATACACACGTGACGGTGAAAGCCAGATTTATAAATAAACGTTGACTAACATAGATAATGAGTTATATTGTTATTCTAATGAGTTTCACAGCCATCTTCCCTTTGATAAGCTATGTGTCAAGCAAATTTGAGAATTGCAAATTATAGCAATATTTTCGGCAAATTGTTTGGATGAAACTTTTAATTGCATACCCCATTATTGACATCGTAAAAATAAGTTAAACAAGGTTCTGTCTAACTGACCTATTTTTTATCATTGTTAATAGTTCTATAGAAAACCCGTATCATCTATTCGAGTATTTCCGCTTTTTGTTCACATGTAACATATAAAACACAATCATGTCATTCTATTTATATACCTAAGCAAATAAATACATCTGTGAAAGAAAATCAATTTCGTATTTTGCAGGCGATTCTTAGCAGTAGTCAGCGCTGTGCCGACTGGGGGATGTAACACCCCTCCTCCCCAAGAAAAGTCAGGGACAGGGCCCAATTTCCCTAGAGGGGGCTCTCAAATGCTGGAGATATTTAGGAATATTGTGAAAAATTGAGGTCGAATTCTGGAAAACGTATTTTTACCCCCCTTTTATCCAAAACAGGTTTGTAAAAAAATTATTTTGGATCTTTTGTTTTCCCGCAAACGTATACCCCCCCCCCTCCCCCTAAAAAGTTTGGGGATCATCCAAACTTTTGAGATCATCCCCCCCCAAGACATATCGGTCGGCACGTCCCTGGCAGTAGTAAATTAAACTGTTTGGGTTAATACATTAGAACCCCCCATCAAGCGGACACATTTGGGACCTCACCGATGTCCCAGGATAAAGACATACAGAAGGCACCTCGAGTTACCGCTGCCACGCCATGATTCGTCATGAAAATACTGACGCCATAGTCCTAGCCAGTGCGCTTATGAGAGGCATCCCCCCTGGACGTTCACATTTTGAATATTATCAGGGGGGTGAATGCCTCTCAAACGCGCACTGGCCAGGACCATGGCGTCAGCATTTTGATGACGAATTACGGTTACGCCAAAATCATTGGAAAATCATAGGAAAAACCAAGAAGTCAGCCTTCTGTGTAACCTATTCTGTGCCGATGTGTCGCTTTAAAAGAGGAGTCCAATTCGCCTTTCTCACGCCGCCATTTTTGGGTGGCTTTTCAGCCGAAGTCTGCGAGATAAGTCCACATAACGGCGACTTTTTATATTTTTTTGGACAAATGACGGTAAATTTGCTTTGTATTTAGCTTATTTTGAAAAATTGCTTTTCACATTGTTTTAATTGTCTGCATTGGTTAACGAAAATTAGATGCCACCCAAAAATGGCGGAAATTT